TGGCTTATTGCTTACCATATTATCTTTTTTGTGACAAAGCAAGTGTATGCCATGAGTTAGATGTGTTTACTCTCAAAGGATTTAGAAATTGGAAGAAAGTTGATGATAGAAAAAATTGTGCTTTTCTTAGTCATATTAGGGATCCTTGTTTTACTCATAACAATACTGTAGAATCTTATCATGAATTATTAAATCAGTCTTAACATATTGACAATTTGTTACATGTTCAAAGCATAGAGCAAATTTTGAGAAATAGGTTGTGGTTGAAGACTTTAGTTGATTCTATTCGTTGGCTAGCTTTCCAACCTTGTTCTTTCAAAGATAATGATAAGACTTGTGACTCTAAAAATTGAGGTAACTTTCTTGAGATGATAAAATTTTTGGCATCATACAATAATGAAGTTGAGAAAGTTGTTTTAGAAAATGATCTGTTCAATTCAAAATATACTTTACTTGACATTCAAAAGAAAATTTTACAAATCTTTGCAATTAAAGGTAGGAAACAGATTTGTGAAAAATTTGGAGAATCTAAATTTTGCATTATTGTTGATAAAGCACAAAATGAGTCCAAAAGAGAGCAAATGGCTCTTGTTTTAAAATTTGTCAACAAAGAAGGCTTTATAAGAGAACAATTTTTTGATATTGTGCATGTTAAGGACACTAAAGCACTTACCTTGAAAGAAGAAATGTGTTGTGTTCTTTCTTTATATAGCCTTGATATTCAAAATATTTGTGGACAATGATATGATGGTGCAAGTAATATGCAGGGGGACTTGAATGGTTTACAAGTATTGTTTTTTAATGATTGTCTAGAGGCATATTATGTTTGTTGTTTTGCTCATAAGACTACAAATTGCTTTGGTTGTTGTTTTTAGAGAAGTTATCTTTGTTCATCAATTCTTTTCCAATTTAGCTTTTATCATAAATATCATTTGTACTTCTAGTAAATGTCATGATGAATTACAAGCTTCCAAACTAGTAGAACTTGAATGTTTGTTAGAAATTGGTGAACTTGAAACTGGAAAAGGGAAAAATCAAATTCGCACTTTGAAAAAGGCAAGAAATACTCACTAGAGTTCCCATTTTGATTCTATTTGTAGTTTGATTGAGATGTTGAATGCTACAAATTCTGTTCCTTCAAGATATTATTGATGATAATGCTTCTGCTTATTCTCAACGTGATGATACTGATGTTGCTTATAAATTGATGACTTCATTTGAATTTGTGTTCATTTTGCATTTAATAAAAGAAGTCTTGGGGATCATAGACATTCTTTGTAAAGTAGTACAACAAAAATATCAAGATATTGTTAATGCTATGTAATTGGTATCAACTATAAAAGCTCTTATTAAAGACAAAAGGGACAATGGATGGAATGATTTACTTGATAAAGTTAAACAATTTTGTGAGCATCATTTTATTGATATGCTTGATTTGAGTGCGGCTTATATTGCACATTGAGGTTGGGCTTGTCATCAACTAGACCAAATCATTATAGAGCATTATTATCGAGTGGAAATATTTCTTCTAATGATTAACAAGCAATTGTAAGAATTGAATAGCAAGTTTAGTGATGATGTGGTTGAACTTCTAAGTCTTAATGTAGCTATGGTTCCTAAAAATGCTTATAGAGCTTTTGATGTTGATCATATATGCACTTTAGTGGGAAAATGTTATCCATTGGATTTTACAAAGCAAGGGAAGAAAATTTTGAAGTTTCAACTGCAACATTAATTTCATTAATGGGGTTCTCAAGCATCCAAAGTTGAAAAACCTATCTACAATTCAAGAACTATGTTAAGCTTTGATGGAAACGGAAAAGTCAAAGGTATACCATGTTGGAAATTGGGCATTAGAAAATAGATCATTGGCTTCAAAGCATGTTGTAAATGCCACTTTCTTTAAGCTAATTTTGCCCTCCACTAGATCTGGTATGCAAAAGGGACTAAACCGAAATACCCTAGAATACAATGAAGTGCCTTGTTGATCTTGCCTTTGCATTAGCAAGATCAACCACTGAACTATCCTTTGGAAAGCCACAAAACAATAGTTTTCGTACATGAATTTCTACAGCAATCGTAGTACAAAAAGGGATTGTTTTATTTAGATAATAGTAACGATTTGTTTTTGTGTTCAAGAGACTAAGAAGAAAAAGAGATAACTTGATATTTATAGGGGCAAGATGTTTGTTAGGAACAGACGCTCCTTTTCAATTAAGTTTATCCATTGAAAACTCTTCCAAAAATCATTTGATTTGATTTGAATTCTAACTCATATATTTCCTTGCCTTCCAAAGTTATCCACTCTTCCTTGAGAAATTTATCATAATTCTATCTTTTATTTTTTATGTAAATGGTTCAAACTACATTTATGTAGTTTGAACCAAAATCGTTCTTTTCAAATTTTGATTTTATGTAAACAGTTCAAATCATATTTATATGGTTCGAATCAAAATTATACTTTCTCAAATGCGTTCTGTGTAATT